GAAGTTGAGTTTTCTCAACGCTGAGCTTTCTATCACGGGTGGCATGGTGGGATGGAGCTCTGCCGTTGATGTATTGAGAATCTAAGGGTACCAAAATACAGGAGAATAACCTATTAGATTTGGTCGTTTTGTACATTTTTTCGTTGCCGTGAAATCCGTTTTGTCGTATGCTTTGGCCCTTTCCGTTTGGGCAGGAAACCATTTTCTGTTGAGAAAACTACCCTACAGAGGGTAGGGTACATTTCTCAACTTGTTTGCCTTTCGTTTTTTTTTTTTTTAAAGACATTATTACACCCTGAAACGGAGGAGCTCTGACAGCTCTGTTTGGCTCTCTCGCATCAAACTCTCTTCCTTCTTTGGGCAGTGAACGCATCTGGCCATCCATGTTGTCCCTGTCCATTTTACGAATGGTGACCTCCTGTCCCCTCACCACGGGAAGTTCCCTTTTCCACGGAGACATTCACTCCGACTGTGCCAGACATGTTTCTTTTTTTTCTTTTTTTTTTTCAAGAAAAGGAAGATTTCATTATAAGCTGGGAACCGGGCCCAGCATCCCTCACATCATTTAGCTCCGGCCTGAGGGGATGAGCCGGGCTCTCCGGCCGACATGTTTCATTCCTCCGAGTTACTTCAAGTTGATAAAAAATAAAGAGAAAAGCTGTTTCTAGCGATTTTTTTCAGTTTTTTTATTTCTTGTTTCGAATTTATTAATGTCAAAATGGTGTCACACGTTACTTTTTCTAAACTTAAACTTGGGCGGTGGGACTTCACCCCTGGCTGTCTATCTCGTGGTGGTCCCTGGTGGACAGTGGACACTCTTTTGGTGCACAGCAGCACTGTTTGACATGGTCGATACCTCTTTTTTGTTTTGTTTGTTTTCATTAAAAGGCTGGACACTGGACAGGGAGTACGCTGGGAGGGGGATAGGAGACTTCCCCCCTCAAGTAGCCCTTGTGCACAACTCAGCAATTTCACATTGTGGTGCTCTTTGTTTGGAGACCTTTTTCGGGTCACAAAAAGACAATTTCACTTGTGACTCGTTGTGAGCGAGAAACTTTGCCCCTCAAAGAACCGGAGTCACAGAATGTGTTAGGACTCTGAAGAACGCAAACCATCAAACAGAAGCACACTGCCCCCATGAGGATATAAAGACATGATGAAAGGCCTACTACCGTCTTCACCTGAATAGAATGCCTGGTCATTACTGCTGCGTCTGGACTGAAAGTGACCCCAAGTACAGCCATAATGTCCGGGCGTTCTATTAGGGTGACGACGACAGTTTATGAGACTGTGCACACCAGATATGTTCATCGTCAAGGTGATGCGGCATCCCCCACTAGACCCTGTCTATGCCTTCATAGGGAATTGTGACCGCTGATGTTCGATTATTGAGATTGGCCACAGCCATGGGATTGTCAACCACAGAGTCAGCAGGTCCTGGTTTCCGTCGTGTCTGACGAAAAAGAACCACCACCGGGACGAACAGTTTTCTAAACTTTTTTTTTTTTTTTTTTTTTTTTTTTGAAGAAAGCATCCGGGCAGCGAGCTAGAGGTGAAGCACAGGGATGAACAGCAAACCAGGTTGTTGGAAAGTTCTGAAACAAAAAAGTCAACTCTACTCTCGAGATGAATATCTGTTCTTCTGATCAGTTTAATATCTGATCCGTGGTCCATCGGACCACATTTAAAAATAATAATAATAAAAAAAAAAAAGTCAACCAGATTTACAAACATTATAATAGGGACAGACATAGCCAGTAGGTAGGCCCTGGCCTCAAACCACCACTACTTCCAAGCCTCCTTTACTGAGGGGGAGAGATAGAGATAGAGAGAAGGGGGGAGGGATAGATAGATAGATAGATAGA